ATCAGCTGGACATCTGAACTCGTCATCATCTGATCAGTCTCATTCTAGTGCTAGCTTACAGGGAGCCAAACTAGATCAGAATGCTATTTCCCACAAAGTACTTACTAATCCAATTGAGAATGTCATGAAACTTGAATCTAGCACTATCTCAACATTGGCTAATAATGGAGATTCAAGTTCTGAGAGGTTATCAATATCACCCTACTGTTAGAACATCGTTTCTGAACTAGTCGGACTACAAAGAAACCACTCTTTGACAAAGGTTGTCGTCAAATCATTCAAGCTGTTCGGAAAGACCATTCATATTGCTGATTCCAATGAAAGTGGTGTGGACAACAGTGATACGAACCAAGGCAAACCAATTTGAAAGGCTTGATATTGGATTGTAAGCATAGTATCTGGTATCATAGCATGTCCCTTACGAATACAGGTCGATATTTAAATATTGTCTATTAATCATGATACAAACTTTAGCATGTTGTTGTATGATATATAAATTAATCGATGCTCTAGTTGTATAATGGTTGTAGGGGCGAATCCAGCATCAACGTTCAGATAGGGTGAAAGTTGACTTTGACAATTGACCATTGACCGTTGATTGTCGACAGTCAACGATTGTAATATCCCAATCGTTTATTAAAATTTGATTAAATTGTATTAAAAATTGTTCAATATATATGTAAATGCACTAAAACGTGAAAATTATATACGTATGAAAATATAGTTCAATACAATCCAAAATGCTAACAAAGTATACGACAAAAAGCAATCAAACACTTATTTGATTTTCCACCATGGCATAATGCAACGATCAAGCTTAGAGCAATTTGAATTAAAAGAATTTAAGATATGCTACATGAGCAATTTACCAGCAAGATAAACCTAAAGAACAAAGCTAACCACATCAAGACAAAATAAGTAATCTCAATTAATCACTTGAAACCCTTTAATGAGTAACAAAAACTACAATCATTTTCCACTACAAGACTAGTTTCAGAGAAACAGAAGTTGAGTGGATCCTACATAAAAATATTACTGATTTAATCCAACCATCCATCAGCACATATCAATTAATAAATAAAAACCCATAATCTGGTAAAGGAAATGCACAAATCCAATTATTCATGCCAATAAAACTCATAATCTAAAAAACTTAGTAATAAAAAAATAATTATGATTCAATTAATTTGATAATTAATTATAAGTAAAACTTAAGCAAAACCATAAATCTTAAAAACAAAAGAGTGAAGAAAAAAATTAATTACCTTAGACCTATGCTGCTTGCTTGGCCTTGGTTGTCGGAGATTTACTCCTGACTTCGCACCAGTTCGCATATGGTCCATCGCTCGCACAATCGCACTTCCCACTTTGTAGGTGTCATGGCTGCTACTTTTGCTTCGCATGGAAATATGGATATAGAAGGAAGGGTTTGCACTTTGGGTCTTTGTGCCTTTGCTGTCGGTTTCAAATGTTGGGGATTTGGAATTTAGGGTGTTGATTTGCGTTGGAAAAATTACCGTGGATGATAGACCAACCATTCATTGATTTCCTCTATTGGCCTAATGGTCTAATCATCAGCCCAAGCCCCAAAGAAAAAAAAATGTAACTCTTCTTCTTCCCCCCTTCAGCCCTTCGTCTTTGCAACTGCCCGCGCGGCTATGCCTGCAGTCTGGCGGCAACTAAACATTTTGGCAGAGATAGCATGCACAGCCGTGACCCCTCACCAGGTCCTGGCTCCGCCCTTGAATGGTTGTATCACTTTGTTTAGGAACAAAAAACCTGAATCCTAATTTCTCGATGCGACTTGTTTTATGATGTTACGTTGTATCTCCTCCAACGAAATGCTTTAGTAATGTTTATGCCATGTTTTATACATCTAGCTTCTCTATACTTTTTTTAGAGCTGAACGTTTGACTTGCAACAGTTTGTAAACGAAGAAAAAGGCGCCAGTGCTTAGAAATGTAATTTGTTTAGTCCAATCATTCATGAAGTACTTGTCCTCTTGAAAAAGTGAAGTTGTTATCAACAATAGAGATTATTGTTACACCAATAAATTACTTGGCATACGCGTGATGGAGGGGGTTCTGTATTGGTCGACATATTTATTTAATCATCTGCTTCCGGAAGAAATCGAAGAATTTCTTGGGAATCCTACAAGATTCGTTCGTTCTTTTTCTCTGATAGATGGTCAAAACTTCATCTGGGTTCGATCGCTTCGTCTTAATTCAAACAAGGGATATCCCTCCCACAGCGCTTGAGGAATAGCACGGATACGCCGATAGAGGTACAACGAACGATTAAAAAAATCATAGGATTTTTTCTTTTTTTTTTTTATATTCATCAAAACTATCTATAAAAAGAATTAGATAGAATAACTTCGACCTTGTCAACTGCCAATCATTCATGAAGTACTTGTCCCCTTGAAAAAGTGAAGTTGTTATCAACAATAGAGATTATTGTTACACTAATAAATTACTTGGCATACGCGTGACAGAGGGGGTTCCGCATTGGTCGACATTTATATATATACACACACACACACACACACATACATACATATACTTGTACTCATATTTCACTCGTCCGACAGTTGACTTGATAGTCAGAGTGCAAATAGTTGTCAGACCTTTTTCTCTACATCAACATCAGTACAGCTACATATATTCAAAGTATTACCTCTGCAACTTATGTCCAGAGCATTACCTCAGATGCTTATATCTAGAATCTCACCTCTGCATCAACTTCATCACAACTACTTATCTTCAGAGCATCGTCATTATCCAAAAGTCCACATATTATATAAATATTCATAGATGGATTAATTGGGGGACTATTTTGATACTAGTATCTTAGTATCATTATATATTAGTGCTAACACATGCATTAAATTATTGTTGTAAGGCACACATGTCAAACATTGGTAGTATTCCTCATGACCTATGACACTTTTCATTACTGCTAGTATATATGTTACGTTATCTACATCATCATTTCATAGATATCATGTTATTTCATACTAGCAGGTTGGATATGATCATAATTTTACCTTATTTGGAGGGGATGAACCTCAAATTTATTTTATATATGTGCAGAGGAGATATTATGTTGTATTGCAAGTGCGTTTAGTTTATATTACAGAGGAGATGCAGTCGAAATTTTCAAAAATTATACGAAGTATCTATCTTTCGAGGTAATCCGCAAGTCCTCACTTATTCAGGCTCACACAGATTTTTTTTGAGGCAGTTCCTAAGTTCTCACTTATTGGAGCTGCTAATATTCTCGAGACAATTTGTAACTCTTCCCTTATTTGAGATTGATGCATATCTTCTAGATAATTCGTAAGTCTTTATTTACAGGAGCTACTTTTTTCTGAGGCAATGTAGCTCCTGTAAATAAAGACTTACGAATTACCTAGAAAATATGCATCAATCTCAAATAAGGGAAGAGTTACAAATTGTCTCGAGAATATTAGCAGCTCCAATAAGGGAGAACTTATGAATTGCCTCAAAAAAAATCTGTATGAGCCTGAATAAGTGAGGACTTGCGGATTGCCTCAGAAGATAGATACTTCATATAATTTGTCAAAATTTCAACAGCATCTCCTCTGTAATATAGACTAAACCCATCTGTAATACAACATAATATGTCCTCTGCACATATATAAAATAAATTTGAGGTTCATCCCCTCCAAATAAGGTAAAATTATGATCATATCCAACCTGTTAGTATGAAATAACATGATATCTATGAAATGATGATGTAGATAACGTAACATACGTACTAGCAGTAATGAAAAGTGTAAGGTACATGCATTAAATTATTGATGTAAGGTACACATGTCAAACATTGGTAGTATTCCTCATGACCTATGACACTTTTCATTACTGCTAGTACGTATGTTACGTTATCTACATCATCATTTCATAGATATCATGTTATTTCATACTAGCAGGTTGGATATGATCATAATTTTACCTTATTTGGAGGGGATGAACCTCAAATTTATTTTATATATGTGCAGAGGAGATATTATGTTGTATTGCAAGTGCGTTTAGTTTATATTACAGAGGAGATGCAGTCGAAATTTTCAAAAATTATACGAAGTATCTATCTTTCGAGGTAATCCGCAAGTCCTCACTTATTTAGGCTCACACAGATTTTTTTTGAGGCAGTTCCTAAGTTCTCACTTATTGGAGATGCTAATATTCTCGAGACAATTTGTAACTCTTCCCTTATTTGAGATTGATGCATATTTTCTAGGTAATTCGTAAGTCTTTATTTACAGGAGCTACTTTTTTCTGAGGCAATTAGTAAGACCTCATCTAGTTGACTACTTATATTCCACAGTTTGACCCGCACATGGATGTATAACTCAAACTTTGGGAACTATTGTTACACCTGTGGTGTACGCGTGACGGAGGGGGTTTCATATTGACCAACATGGTATCCACTATTTAATTGATTGAACTCATTTAATTAAACACTTGCATATTGATCTTGCATATATATATATATATTCTCATATTTCTCTTGTTGGGTTGTTAACTTGATCATCGAACCTATTTCTTGTCTGACAGTCTTTGCTTTCTAACGGAGTGCTCAGTGTGCAGGTGATATCTATGTAGAGTGTGGATGCGATCGAGATTCTGTTGGAGCATTTTTTTGGGTCAACAATTATGTCACCATATTACACACTCACACACACACACACATGTATATATACACGGTGTAATTATTTTTTATCTTAGGTAGATTTACGCAATAATCATAATTACTAGAATCTAGCCATGATAGGTGTCGTAATTTCTATTTAATGAAGAAAATCCTCACAAAGAGGTCATTCCGCTAAACATTGTCAAGATATCAGAGCTTACCTCTTGACTCCATTGCGGAATCTTCAAATTTTTTTTGGTTTTGCTTCTATCTTTGGTGCAGTTGAATTTTGTTGCTTGGACTCCTTTGATTACTCGGGGGTGTTCAAGATCTCTATGTTATTCTCGTTTTGAGATTCTGGTTCAATCGAGCGCAAATATTACAGTAAATAAATTAATTGGTTCGAAGTCAAAGTAACAATATCACCCGATAAGTTCTTCTCTCATCAGCAGTACTTACAGGTAGCACACCAAAAATGTCAAAGCGAGGGCGAAAGGATCCGCCATGAATAAGTTCCTGCTCAGTGTGACGGTGGCAATGATAGTGAACACCACCGATAACACGGCACATAAAATCTTTATATTTCATCCATTAGGGCGATAAATGGCCTACTGAACCAGCTTTTTTTGGCTTGCAGAATGATATGGTCAAGCCTGGTTTGAGAAAGACAAGGATGCCTACAATTGTTGTTCGACAAAGTATGCTGCGAAAGCTAAATGATAGGGTTTACATGTATTTCCAAGATAATGTTGTCGTTATAGTAAACCCTAAGGGTGAAATGTATTGTTGTGCAATTACCGGTGTAATTGGCAAGGAATGAGCTGATTTAGCCCCTTGTTTGGGCACCATTTTAATGAGGGTTTGGAAGAAAATATATTTTAAAATAGTGTATTTTAGAAGAATGTGTGGTTAAAAAAGAAGAAAAAGTTTTGGGTTTATGTGTAATATTATTTTATTGAAAAATGTGTGATTAAAAAGAGGAGAGACAAATGCATTTTGGATAAAATAGAGTCCAAATAGGGGCTTAGGGCCAAGGTTTTCTATTGCAGCCAATGCCATAGCTACTGTTATTAAACCTTAAAAAGCCGGCATTAGCCATTAAGCAAAGTAGCTATTCTTATTTGTATAGTTGGTTAGATAGAATAAAATGAGGGAGTATAAAAGGAAAAGAAATTAAATTTTATTTATTGTACTATCTTTTACATTTTAATCTAATGTGAAATTGGCTTAGTAATTTGAAAGAAAAGGAATTAATTGTCCTTGTATTCAATTAAGACCCTCCGATTCTCTTCGCGTTTTTCATGCACAATTTTTTGACAAATGCCACATGAAATGTTCAATGGAGCTTTAGTAAAAAATCGGCAGTTCAGTAAAAGTTGCACAATAATTCCAGCAGTGAAGTAATGGTACGTACCATGAACTCATGTCTCAACAGTGTACTGCACTGGATTAGTCGGACAACTCTTAGACAGGTTTTTTGGAAAGACCATTCACCATTGCCGATTCCATTGAATGCACAAAGAGATTGGTGCAGTTTTAAGAGGTTTGATGTATTATAAAATGAGTCTCAGCCATAAAATGAGCTGGCAAATATAGGTTATACAATTGAACTTTGCCGTGTTATGTTTCGTTATCATATCTACAAGCACCACAGGCTGCAGGCAGAAGGTTCGACTCGTAATGTTTTTCTCATTTTCTTAGGCTGGCTGCTGTTAGGATTGATTATCTGGTTTTTTTAGGTCATTAAGTTTGATTTTGGACTTAATATATTGACATTATATAAGGTGAATGAAGAGATTGATTCAAAAGCATTTGTCCAGCATTTTGCAATGAAGTAGATGTTCAGAATCTACTTATACATGCACAGCGGAATTTAAAATAATTCTCGATTCCCACCAAGAATCGCTTTTGTGTTTAGATAGAATTTGTGATAAGATTGTACCTTTTCCAGATCTGCAAACTTCTTTGCTTTTCTTTCAGTTCCATCAACCTTGATTTGCCACCACAGCTGTCCAATTGTCCAGCCTCCAACGGTGATCCACACAGAGAATAAGATTGCAGCTTCTAAGGTTTTCTCTTGTGCCAGCAAGAATAATGAAAACCATATGGATCTCAAACTCTAGCTATGAATTTATATAAACCCAAATGGACTCGGTCCGGTCCGGTCCAATATTTAATTAATCCAATTAATTAAACCCGGTCTGTGAATTAATTAATCCAATTAATTAATTCGGGAATATAAATAAAAAATTCAATTAATTAATTTATCCAACGATTGTTAAATTAACCAATTGGCAATTTGCAATCTTCCAATTCTCTTTATTGTGCGACCCATTAGGTTCCCGACCACGATGCCTAACGACGTGAAATATTATTTTGATCTAATCAAAATTGATAAATTAAAACACCCTTTTAATTTATCGTCAATTCACACTCGCCGTCCCTGATTAACATCTAGCAATGTGTCAGGGCAATACATGTGATGGGAAATGTCACGTGGTATGACAAAACCAAATTCGTTCGTTTACCGTGAAATTATAATCCCTTCGTCAATATGATCCGATCAATTACGAGATATGGAATTGTGTCAATCTCGATCATCGATCATATCTTTCACTCCACTATTAAGTCAATATAAATCAAAAACTCCTTTTCGACTTATAAGTTCACCTTGGCCAAGGATTTCATCATCGACTTAATTGAATGAAACGCAGATCATAATCTCCTACTATCTAAGAGCGATGAATCCTTTATTGATCCATCACAACTTTCATACGATTCTTGACGTACCCGAACGATGTCGTATTAGCGGCCCTTTTCAGAGCAACTTCCAACACCGCCAAAGTATGACTGTCCTCATATAAGGTACCATGACGACCTCAAGTCAAAGGACTAATTCCACTACCGAACGTTAGAGATTAACCACTGACACTCAGATAGTTATCCATGTGAAATCTCTCGACGGGTCTCCAATGTTTTGTTCTATAACAAAACATCCACGTGTTCATTTAAGTGTCACCACACTTTAACTTGTGAGATCAGCTACTTACTTCACAAGTAAGAAATGCCACACATGATGGTCTATCCGTAATAACGATATCCGTATCTCGTTATTACTTACGACCACGGATGATTTAAAATTCAATCAGATGTAATTTGTCTCTCACAATCACAACTCCTTGTGATTAACAAATTACAAATATTTGAACCTACGGACTCTATTATTTATTTAATTGTCTATTAATTAAATAATTTAAATAAATAATAGATCTGCCATTTAATTGCATTAATTATATATAAAAGTATTTATGTCCAAAGTTGATTGGACCTAGGGCATAATACTTACAAACTCCCACTTGCACTAGATCCAATCACTTATGTATCAAATATCATAAGTCTACATGGCGATCATGTTTATACTACGACAACTCTTTGTTAGTGGATCTGCAATATTATTAGATGTGAAAATTTGCTCTTCTCTTTGCGTCATTTCTATGTATTATCTCTCTGATGAGATTATATCGCTTTAATACATGTTTGGATCATTGATAAAACCTTAGTTCCTTTGTTTTCACAATGGCTCTATTGTTATCACAATACTATTGTAGGTGATCAACAATATCAGGAACTACTCCAAGTTCATTTATGAACATCATGATCTATATTGCAACTCTTTGCTACTTCTGAAGTATCCATGTATTAGGTTTATACTATTGAATCAACGGTTGCTTCACGTTTGGAACCTTTCCAACATACCGCTTAAGAGTAAACCAGTTTCTCCATATGAAATCTTCTCAAGATTTCATCTATGTAAATTGGGATGAGTTAACCAATCTTTTAGATCTATCTCTATAGATCAAGTTGCTTATCCCATATTGTTTATGAATAAATCCTTTAACAACCATTATTTCAACGATTGAAGCATAGGGATATCGTTTTCTATTATATTAGGAATACGACAATGCTCCCACTATCTTCTTGTAAACATACAATTCTTCTTCAAATTTGATAAAATCAAACACTTTGACTTTTTCCATTAAATCGAAGATTTCAGCTCCATAGAGACTTATCTTAACCTTTAGTTACGATATGCAACTGTTGCAAATAAAACCCGAATGGACTTCAGCAAGGCCACAGAAGAAAGGTTTCACCAAGGTCAACACTTAACCTTTGCTTCTAGCCTTGCTTTGTATATATGGATATTCACATCCACATCGACCCTTCCCTTGTAAACTATTTACAAAACCTTATGGGTTTTATTCCATCAGGAGGCTCGACCAAGGTCCAAACCTTATTCACATACGCCGAGTTCATTTCGAGTATCATGGCATCTTGCTGTCTCTTTTAAGTCAACACTTGACTTTATTTTGTTGCAACTAGCCGGTTCATTGTCCTGGATCACTAATACCTATTTAATGATCATGGATTCGCACCTTCTTGAAGGTCGAATGATCCTACTAGATTCACATAGAGCTGTCATGTCCTCATGAGTCTTTACTTCCTGATCCAAAGTATGTCCCATATCAGATATGGGATCAAACTCGAATTTATCTACTTTGTTAACTATATCTGTGGACTTTTGAAGTCTTTCAAATTCTATTTTACTCCCACTGCCCTCTTCTAGAGTAAACATTTTCTCTAAGAAGACGATATGTCGTGAGACGAAGACTTTCTTCATAATAGAATTTATATTCAAATGTCTCTTTTGAATATCCCACAAATATATATTTATCGGATTTAATCTCAAACTTATCCGATTTAAGACGCTTCAAATAAGCGTCATGGCCCCAAGCTTTCATATAAGATAAATTGAGACTATTGCCTTTCCATAACTCATATGGAGTTTTGTTAACCAATTTAAATGGGACATGATTTAGTGTGTTGCACACTGCAATCAATGCATGACCTAAAACAATTTTGGGAGATTTGCATGGCTTGTTATTAAACGCATTATATCTAATAATTAACGATTCCTCCTTTTAGATACACCACCTTGCTGTAGTTTATATGAAGGAGTCCACTGTAAGAGAATCTCATTCTCTCTTAAATAATCTAGATTTTATCTTTAAGATACTCTCACTTGATCGAATCTTAATGTGAGGGTATCTTTACCTATTTGTTTCTCTAATTCTAGTGTGAAACCCTTGAACTTTTCAAGAGTTTCATGTTTGAGTTTTCATCAAGTATACATGATCATTGATGAAATAAGAGAAACATTACTTGACATCTTTTGACATGAGTCCATATGCATCACTATGCATTAGACCAATAATTATGCTGACCTTTCTTCTTTTCAAGTAAAAGAAGATTTGGTCATTGTGCCAGACATGCATAATTTTTACTTGTCAAAATCAATTAATCCTAAATATACATCTTTATGTAACTTTGGAATTACATTTCATCTAAATGACAAAGTCTATCATGCCAGATTTTGGTAATAATTAGATTATAGTATTTATACCTTATAATTTCTATACTCATTATAGAATTTTTAGTATTAAAGAATATAAATGTCGTTTTTGTAATTTACCATAGTCATTAGGATCTTTAACAAGATAAACAAGAACAAACAATTATCCTTAACATTAAAATAGTTCATGTTCGAACATGAAATTCATTTTAATGTTACAGCTATGGTTGACATAAAACGACATTTCTCTAATTCCAATACTAAACCAAATGGCAATGGCAAGAAGTATATTCATACAGGTAATGCAGCAACCTTTGCTCATCTACAACGTGTATGTCAACTTCTCCCTTTCGCAGTGGTATACTTCTATTTAGTTTCTCCATATTTGTATAAATAAGGGATTTACATCT